TGGAAAGTGTTTTGTTGGAGGAAGAACATAATCCGTTTTTTTTATAACACCTCAAACAAAAAATAAATATTCTTCTACTAATCTCCCATGTTGGAGAAAATGTGGGGACTGGAATGTGGACCACACACACGTTTTTTGGGAATGCCCTAAAGTAAAGCAATACTGGACAGATACTAGCACCGTAACAGGAAAGATACTGGGGTACAAAATACCTGAGACATTTGAAATGCTGTATTTATGTAATCTGACAGAAAGAACTGTACAACAGGAGGGCAGATACCCGGTTAAGATCTTCTTAGAAAGAGATCACAAGGAAATGGATGAGAGAAGACCCTCCCACCAAGAAAAACTGGATGGACATTGTGGGGGAAGTCTTTGTCATGGAAAGACTTGCATATAAACTGAGGCTAAAACAAACAACGTTCAATATAGACAGCATACCAAACGGAAGAAGGGGACAGCACATAGACACAATCGACAGCACATAGACACAATCGTACTTACCCTTATGTTATCCTAAATTGTTACCAGAACCTCACTGCAACCTTCTCACTGTTTGCAGTGAGAAGGTTGCAGGTTTTAATCCCAGCTGTAGACTTTGTGCATGAAGTTACCAAGTTTCCCCGTGAATTTGTGGGTTTTCTCCTGGTAATCTGGGTTTCCTCCCACAGACCAAAACATGAATGTAATAGCTACAATGACAAATATGCAAAACAAGCTAGCTTTATTTTAACACCCTATAGATATAAACATATTGTGGAGATTTAAAAAATAAAATTAAATGAAGTGGTTCTCTTGCATTTGACTAAAAACCTCCACCTATAATACGGCTCGGTCCCAAACATCGACATGAATATACTGGACATCTCCTTTCCATAGGCTCCAATATCACGTTTTTGAGGCCAAATGGGAGGTGGCCACCACCGCCATTTTGACCGTGTCACAGGTTCCGTCAAGCCCAGACAATTCCACAAAAGGAAAGAGAGGTGGAGCTGAGGGTGGGGCTGTAAGGCTGGGATCAACTGACGACACCCGGTCGAACTAGCTACAAGCTAACCTGAAGCTAACCCTGGCTAACCCAAAGCTAACGCGGAGGTGGGAGCTAAGCTAACGGAGGTAGCAACCTAGCTACAACCGGAGTTAACTGTGCACAACACCAGAGCTTCTGAGTCAGAGATACGCCGGGCTGACCGCTGGGTAAAACCCGGTGGAACACAGAGGTCGCCGAGACCTCCACAAGCTAGCAGCCGCACAGCAGACAAGCGCCGCTGAGCTGCTGCCGGGGAGAACCGGGTGGAAAGGTTTCCATCCCAGAGCTCCACAAGCCGGCAGCCCGTGCAGCAGACAGGAGCCGCGATCAGACAGAGATGCGCCGAGCTGCGGGGAGGGGAGAAACGGGTGGAAAACATCGGTCTCCCGAGAGCTCCACAAGCCGATAGTCGGAACCCAGCTCCACCAACATGTTATATTTCAACCCATTTTCTAAAATGCAGCATTAAGTTAAATGCACTGGGTTTTACCCTATTACATTTAAATTTCATGGTTAAACAGTACATGTTAAAATCTAAGCTCAGCAGTGACCTAAAATACATAAATATAATTTTACTTACCGACAAAAATGAAGTGGAGACTCCTTGGACGCTCTATTAGTGCAATTAATGCCACAGCAAATCATTTTGTCCAACAATTGCACTAAAAATATCCAAAACAGAATACACAAACACAGAGACTCAAAATGCCAGCGCAGTTTCCAAGCCAGACCGAGGCTCTACTGAGGCCTTTCCACGGAGCTAGCTCTGTGGTCACGTGGGTCTGAGGCGGCGGTCACGTGGGTCGGATTCTCATTAATTATACAGAATTTTAGGCTTTAATACACTTAAACAGAAGAGTGAGAAAAAAATTCACCCCCCTCAGAGTTGTCATGAGTGTAAACTAGATCATTTAAACCTAAAACATGTTTTGGTACCAAGCTGTTTGGTACCAGGCTGTAAACATGTTTATTTCTGCTGTGAAATTGGTATTTATAACATGGGAGTCAATGAGGATTTGCTCGCTTCTGACACCAGCCCCTAGTGGATGAGGGTGGAACTGCAATTTTTGCTACTTCCGGGTTTGACTCAATTTTAGAGCTCCGTTGTGGGGGCTTGGTCCCAAACCATCCAGTAGTCAGTTTCACTGAACAGCCGCACTTCCCCGGGTCCTCCATGCATCATACACTCACATATTTAGCAACAGAACATCACTGGTGCGAGAGGTTCTCCACTCAATAACATCAGAGAAGGAGAAACATCCGGCTGCTACCACTTCAGCTTCAGGAAAAACCCAAAAAGTCCCAAAAAGAACAACACCGTTCAATTCACAGACAACAAAAGACGTTTGGACCTAGAAAATGGCGACTGGTGTTTAGCTCTATCTCGTTTCCTCTGGCAATGTGCTTTCTGGTATCAGGACGACATGGCCCAGGAATGAAGGCCAGCGGGAGGGGTGAGGGTTCCGTGAACATGTTTGCATTTAAAAGCTATCTTGTTTTGCAGATTCGCTATAGCAGCTTTAAGTTGACTGAACACTATTTTTTTTTTATCTATTATTTATTTAACCAGGAAGGTCCCATTGAGATTAAAAACCTCATCTTCAGGGGAGTCCTGGCCGAGAGGCAGCAAAAGTTACAGTTACAGATGTTTCAGTTATACAGACATGTTATGTGCAAAATTAAAGAAGGCAGTTACGACACAGGGAGTCCATCTCAAGGGCTCTCAGTCTGGTTTTAAATGTATTCAAGGAGATAAACTCTGTTAATTTCCAGTTTTTCTGCAGCCTGTTCCGTGCAGAAGGAGCAGAGCGAACGAAAGCCCTTTAGCCCAGTTCGGTACGAGCAAACAGAACACTAACCGCTGATCGTTGTTGCAGACTGTGAGAAGTTACACTTCAGCGTCAGATGAAGTTACAGATGTAGTTGGGTAGTAATCCAAGCATGGCCTTATAAATGAAAGTGTACCAACGTTCCAACCTCCTGGTGAACAAAGAAGGCCAATTTTAACTGCAGAACTGTTTGTTGGACCTCATTAAAAGCTTTCCATAAGAATTCAACAGTTTAAGTGGGGGATGTTCCAAAACAGTAAATGATTGTGTCATCAGCGTAAAAGTGCATCTTAGCATCAGACACATTTTGTCCTGTCATTATTATGCATAATGAACAAGAGGAGTCCCAAAACTGAACCCTGTGGTACTCCCTTATGAACATTCAAAAATTCAGAGGACAACCCATCACATTTAACGCAATGAGTTCTGTCCTTCAAGTAGTCTGTGAACCATGATGTTCAGACAATCTCAAACAAAGAAGCTTGTGCTTTAAAACAGCATGGCCTGCAGCGCCAAAGGCTTTTGAAAGATCAGTCAAAAGAGACGCTCAGCCCTGCTTTTCATCAAGAGCAACATGTCATTGATCACCTTCGTAGGTGATCAATTAAAAATTGTCTGGTAAATTGTCTCTAGGTGTGAGTTTGTGACCGGTTGTTTTGCTTTTGTTTGTCCCAGTAATGGACTAGAGACCAGCGTGTCCCTCGTCTCTTGCCTGATGACTGGTGGTGACATACACCAGCTCCCCGTGACTCTACTGAGGAATAAACTGTTCAAAAATGTAAGATAATTCCTGGAAAATGTGTTGCCCTAAAGGCAGTTACGTTTGCTGGAAAATACCTGCATGCTTCCATCTACAATATGTAATGACAGAAGCATAAAATACCTGAAACACAACCCATCTTTTGGGTTTGTTTGGTGATGTTTAATGGGATTATTGTCAATAAAATGATTAAACTTGGATTAAATAATAGTCATTTTCTTTCATTATCTGTTCATTTCTGCTCCTCAGAGGATTTTGCAGAAGCTGCTACCCACCATGGACATTATGCAGCAGAAGCAATCGGTTTAAACTCATTTCCAGTGTTTTTGTCAGTGGTGCATAGCTTATAAATCCAGGAATGGATGAATAATTACTAACAAGGTTCAGGCTAGCAGTTTATCTTCTGCTATTGTGCCAATTTTATTTTGGTGGTTTAGGTTAAATAAAGATGAAAGTTTTAGTTCTAAATTTACATTCAAGAAATTATACATAAACAAACAAAACATCATTGGCGTTAGGGTTTCTGAACCTTCGCCTCATCTTGTAGGTTTGTTGTAAACGCGGTGACCTTTAGTGACAGTTTGAGATTTAAAGGTGCATTAATTAAGAATTCTACAGAGAAATCATTTCAAAAACCGGTCTAATCATGTTGGAAGGAAGGTTTCACTGAAACGGACTTTATTCTGAGCCGGCTGGGGGGTTGTTCATTTTCCTCCTTTTAAAAAGGCAGAAGAGGAGCGAAGTTTTTGTTTACAATCTGTATCGCCTCCATATTTCCTGGTTGCAAAGCCAATCATATCTGAGCTTGTGCGGTTGCCAAATCTGTGGCGGCATTTGTAATTCGACACCCATCGGCAAAAAGCAGCAGTGCTGTGGGCAGGATGGAAGCCAGCAGGAGCAACCCAGAAGCAAAAGTAAGCAACAAGCAGTAGGTTTCAGCTACCAACAACTGGATGTTACAGTGAAATGTATTTATCTGCTTGTCAACTTCCTGTGTACGACTCGTCTTCACTCACTTCGAATCCTCTGGTGCTGATCCATAAACAGCAACAGTTGCTCAGAGTGGACTTGTTTTGATACATGGACTGCAGTACCCCTATCTGACCACAAGGGGTCATTCTAACTTAATTCAGCTTTAAAGATGCTGCGATTTTGGCTGCAGTTGAAAGGCGCAAACACAAGTTTATACGTTTCCCCCCCCCAAGTATTAAATCAGCTTTCGCCAGTGGCTTTACTCATGAGGCGTTCATACTGGACATTAACGTCTGATCCGAGGATGCCTCTTTGTTCGTCCTGACGCTGTTCACAGTTCAGCTCAGTCGGGCAGAACGACTGGAACAAATCTGAAAAGGATCAAATCTAAGAAAAGGAAGCAGGCCGCTCGCACGAGGCTACATTACAACCTCTAAAACATTTATTTGACCTATTTACAGACAGTAAACACAACGCAGCAGAGCGGATTCCTATTTAAACACATCTGAGAGTACAGCTGTGACAACAGCATCACCGTGGTTTCATAAAGTAAACTATATAAAAATTAATACTTTAGCTGACAGAAAGCAACGCGTAGGAGCACAATGCATAAATTAATGGACTGATAGTTATACTGGACAGCATAAAGAGCAGGTAAAACCTTCAAGGACTCGGGAAGTTTCAACGATTTTTCAAAATAAAAGCTGATAAGAAAATGAGCGTGTTTACAGTCAGCGCACATTATTCTAGATCAGAGAAGGAAACTGCATGTGTGAGCACTTGCTACGCAGCCAGGGTTTTGCCGAGTGATGTAATAAATGTCTGCGGTAAGGGGAGAGCGATGGAAACAGAAAATGTGCAGAAGTAGAAATAATGAACAGGTGAGGGGAAAAGCAGCTCTTCCTCCTTTTGTGTTTGAAGGGTCAGGTCTGCATCCCAAACGCTCACACACCGGACGGTCTGCTAAAAAAATAAAACTGCAGGATTTGATGTTAAACTATTCCTAGAGTTTCATTTCTGATCATTTTCATTTTTTAAAAGTTTTGTGAGGAAGAATAAAAAGGAAAAATAAACCCTCTAAATGTGTGAAGTGGTGTTTAACATTGGCTAAAGTGCTTTGTTAGATTCTGTACATTTGCTGGGCTAAAGAGAGAATCCGGCTCTGGGCTCCACCAGTTCCTCCTTAATCTTACGTCTCTGGATGCAAACAACAAAATCCACAGCAAGTCCGTTAAAGAGTTCACACGGATGCACACCACACAGGCGGGGAAGCCCAGAGGCTGATTCTGTGCAAACTTCATGCATCCATCTTTCCTCACAGACTATGTTCTACTATGTTCAAATGAATTTGGAATAAACATTCTTTCAGTTTGCATTAAACTAAACAGGAGCTTTTACTCAGTTCCCCGGACGATGAGGAGATCTGGATGCATTCTGTGACACGAGTGAAGAGCGGCCTCAGACCGACTTCAGTGGGTCTCCAGGCCCACGGACAGTCAGGTGAAGAGAGGGAAAAAGAGAGTTTCTGGAGTCACACCGGGGAAGTACCTGAGCTAGGTTGGCCGTCCTGCGCCAGGTGCGGAGGGCGGGGGTGGGGTTTGGGCAGTAGAGCGGATGGCGTGACGTAAGTGAGGCTGGGGCTGTTGATGTCACCTTCTCCCACCAGGGTCAGGTCAGACATGGCGTCCTCCTCCAGCATTTGGATGGATTCTCCCCAGGTGGAGTCCTGGAGGGGGCCGTGCTGAGGGGCTCGGTTGGGACGGATGGGGGAGACGGTGGTTGGAAACGGGGGCGGCGGTCGGGGTTTCCTCTCGGTGCCGAGTGCAGAGTCCAAGCTCTGAGACTGGTGGCTCCCACTGAGCCAGTGTGAGCTGCCCACACCTCCCCGGTCATTGCTGGTTGCCTTGTTGCCCCGACGACCGCCGCTAGGGAAGCTGCCGTTGCTAGGGTTACGGGAGTCGGGGGTAGAGCTGTTGGGCTCGGGGTTGCCGGCAGGTGCTGCGGTGCGGCGGGTTGCCTCTGGAGACAGGCGCAGGAAGTCTGGGAGCTGCAGGTGGCTCTTGTTCAGCAGGCCTCGCTGGTCGTCGGCTCGGTTGCTCTGAGCTTTGGATATGAGGTCGAAGAACTCTGCAGGCACGCACGGTGCCACGTGCACACACACAAAAACACACAAACACATGATCAAGCACATGCGTGTGCACATATACAAACACCATCCTAAAGAGTGAAACTAAAACACACTAATAAGGTTTAAAAACGTGCAGAAGTGTGTATTAATCAATCAGACGGGTCAAAGCTACACTCAGAACAAGCAGGGGTGTTTGTCATACGCGTAGCTAGCTAGCTCTGAAAGCATTTGGTGCTTCTGCAGAAGGGTTAGTGTGGTCAAAGCAACGCAGCTAGAGAGACAGAGAGAAAAGGAGCTGGTTCAGTCTTTACCTTCAGCTTCGTCTATATTAATCTTTTTCTGCTTTCTTTTCTCCGGAGCCTTATGAAGAGAGACTGAGTGGTTGGGCAAAGGCTGGCTGCTCATGTCAGGGCCTGGCCCAGCCCTGCCATTTTCCCCATGGGGGTGGGCTGAACCGGCTTTTCTCGACGGCCTGTCCTCCCCCTGGGGGCCACACGGAGAGCGGAGCGGGGCATTAGAGCCCTGGTGGATGATGGTGGAGCAAGTATGGGGGAAAAGCACCGACAACATACTGGAATCAAACGCTGCTGATGGTGGAGAGGGTCACAGTTTTTACATAAAAACAATCGGATGGGGGACGATGACAGAAGCTGGTGGTCGGGGTGGGTTTGGAGGATGATTCTGAAATGTTTGAGATTCAGGTTTGCGTTTAAAAGTCAGCGGCGTGAACACAGTCTGGCCAAAAACGGCTACACACTCCCTGGTTTTACACTCTAAAGGGATTTTAGGTCAACTAAACAAACAGCACGCTAACTATTTATCTGAGCTGCAAATTGTTGAGAAAATGATTAAAAATATGTAAAACTTGTAGCTTTAGCTCAACTTTTTTTCTTAAGTCTTTCGATTTGCACCTCGGACCTTAACCTCAGTAATAACTCGTGCCTCTTCGTACCCTGTTGGCGCGTTTGAACCCAATAAACCCTGGAAAGTAGGAATTTATCCATGCATCAAGAAAACTGATGCTACGCGTTACAGGTGCAGCCTTCTGGAGAAAGCCACACTCAATGAACCGTGCGATATTTTTTTCTTATTGCTCTAAAGTCCAATCGGTATCCTCCGGAAGAGGATGAACGCCACCGAGAAAAGAAGCACTCTGACTTTAATCTCTGAATAAGCAAAAAAATCCCTAAAAAGTCAGGATTTTGAGATTATATTTAGAAATCGGAAGTTAATCTCAGAGTTCAGCGAAAAAAGGAAACAGAATTCTGAGATTAAAAGTCTTAATTATTTTTCACAGTGGCCCTAATCGTCTTCGGTAGTGTCCACTCGTAGAAAATCAAAGCTCCATTTTTAATGCATCACTGATGAACGTTTTTAGAAACAATAGCTCGAACTTTCCACACAGTTTTCCACTTAATTGTTTAAAATGATAATTCACATGTTTTAAAGAATGTTCACGAAAACCAGTTCAAATTTTACTGCGCTGCTGAACAGCCTCAGTTTGAAGAAAGAACTATTCTTCCCAACACACGGCTAATATTGCAGTAATTGGATGAGGTGACTTCATGTACCACGTGACTCTTGTGGCATCGTTGACTACGTTTACATGCAGCCAATATCCGGGTTATGATCGGGTTACGGTCGGTATTCGGGTTTCTGAGTTGATCAGAATAACCCGTTTACAAGCATAAATAGAAAGAGTTACCCCTAACTTGCATAACCCGATTTAAATGCGGACGTTTGGGTAGCGTCAGGACGTGTGGACTACGTCCAGACGCAATATGCGTCATTTCCAGTTCTTCTTGTTCCGGTATCCGTGAAAATAACATGTTTCCCAGTTCGGAAGAGATAGCGACCGCGTTTGTTTGTGCTTTAGTTTCCTTGTCACTCCGAAAGTGTGGTGCTGTGCCGCGACGCGCCATGTTGCTCCCAACTTGTTGTTTACTTCCGGTGTTCTGGCGCATACAAGACGTCTCGCTACTCAAAAGACCAAGATTCCTTGTGAACAGAGCATGCGCAGAACACACGCTTTGATGGGGATATCCCGGTATGCGTTTACACGACCAAACATTCGGGTTAGAAAAGGGTTACCCCAGGTGTAGTAACCGGGTTTTTAAAAACCCGGTTATGAGCATATCCGGGTTTTTGGCGGTGTTTACACGGACCTGCGGAACCGGGTTATTGTGAATATTCGGGTTTTAAAAGGGTTACTAGCTGCATGTAAACGCACTGATGGTGAAAAGATCAGAACTCTGTTCTTCCATCCATTGTCAACCGCTTATCCGGAGTCGGGTCGCGGGGGCAGCAACTCTCGACGTTTACAAGAGTTCACTTCTAAATGATCTGAACTATAACACAGGTTTGAGTTTTGGTTTCAGGAATGTTCTCGACTGTTCCGTCCTGTTCAAACACAAAGACGTATTTTCTAACGTTGCAGATTAAGGAATTAGAATGTTTGTTTGTTTGTTTGTTGGCCAGACGGTGTGCTTGAAATAAATTGAGGATAACAATTACAATGGCTCAAACACAGGTGGGAAGTTCCAGTCAGACTGCCATAATGTCCACTCTGTGTGCTAAGCATCATCAGCGTGTAAGCTCACACACACACACACACACACACACACACACACACACACACACACACACACACACACACACACACACACACACACACACACACACACACACACCACAGAGCTATCCTCTAATCAAGCTACGCTACTGCAACTAGAGCAGAAGGAGAAAAAGAATCTGTTTCACAAACAGATCCAGAATCAGCCGAGAGGGTAATCCAGTCAGATTAAACCCCAACAGCTGACAGAAAGTTCCGGCAACAAACTAAAGCTCTACAGCCACCGCCCATCCCGGTTCTGGAGGTTCTGACTCCCACATCGCTCACTTCGGAGAGCAGAGTTGAGGTAAGAGGAGGAGGAAGAACCAGAGAGAAGTTGATGATGCAACAGCAACAGGCAGACCACAATCATGGAACGTTGTTTACCGGTGTGACACGACTCTCAGCACCACAGCAAGCACATACAGTAATACACACACACACACACACACACACACACACACACGGGTGACTGCAAGAGACACTTAGTGGCGTGACATCATTAACCAGGCAGTGGAGACATTCATGGGTTAAAGGGACATTCCAGAGCCGGAGGAACAACTAAAAAGGCTGGAGAAGATCTTACTGTAGACGACTGGTTTCTGCTGGCAGAGGCTGGGAGGTGGCTCTTAGAGGGAGCCATTTTCTGTTTGTCTGGTGAATCGAGACAAGATTAAATGAAAGATTAAAAACTGACACGAAAACATTCTGTAAACAGAACACCGCCGGTCCGGAGCGTGGATTTTACCTTTTCCAGGAAGGTTTTCCTCTAGATCTAAAACCACCCGTAACCCGTCCAGGTTGGAAATGGGAAGACCTAGATCTAACGGCTCTGAATCACCACTCTGACACACACACACACACACACACACACACACACACACACACACACACACACACACACACACACACACACACACACACACACACACACACACACACACACCATGAGTTTGTAGCCGCTATTTATTCTGTTTGCAGCCTGAGGCGAGACTTACGATGTGTGCCACCAAGTCAGAGAGGTGCAGACCGTATTTGGCCACGACGGGCCTCAGGACCTCTGTCACCGGCTTCGTGGGCTTCGCTTTCAGACCCACCGAGCGGTTGATGGGAACCAGGTCGAGTCTGAAGAGGGGAGGATCCGAATTCAGCTTTATATCAGCTCCATCTTTAGAAGTTTTGATGTTTCGTCACACGAAGAACGCAGACAATTTGTATTTTATACCTGAAGAGGGTCCGTTTCTCTAGTCTGAGGTCCCGAGAGCTCAGGGTCATACAGTCCTGGTCCAAAACAAGTGGCTGGGAGAGAGAACATGAAACATTGCTATATGTAGCATGTAAGCTAACTGACGAAATGTTTATTACGTTTTCATTCTGATCACTACTGAAAAGCTACGATAAAGCCTGACCAAGGCTGGCAAAGATATCGACCCAGTTTGCTGTAGATATTTAAATTTGTCAGGGTTCTACTGGATCAGACACATGAAGAGCGGTACCTTCTCTCCTCCCACCAGGAAGAGGTCTATAGCTGCAAGGTTGATGCAGAGCTTCTCACAAAGACCCTGCAGAAGTTCTCTGATGGACACGCCGGCCCTCAGTGGAACCGCGCAACACGAGCCGTCTGGCATGCTGATGTTGCACTGCCTCAAGGGGGCGCTACTTCCTCCTCTATCAGGTACCGAACCACGAGATGAGTCACCCTGGAAAGATAAGTTGTGATTATAAATAGGGATTAGGCATCCACCGATACCAATATCACTATCGGTATCGGTAAAGGTTAACCGATACCGATGCAGCTGCTTGAAAGTGGCTTCACTGTAACTTGTCATTTCTGTTCACCTAATATTTTAGTTTTGTGATGATTTCTATTCATAAATTTTACTTTTTATCTACCTCTTTTCCTGTTGAAAGCAGAGAAGAAAATAAAATCTGTATTCCAAATCATTTCATTTTTTGTGTGGTAGAAGTATCGGTATTGGTAATCGGTATCGCCGAGTACACAGATCCAAGTATCGGTATCGTATTGGTTTGGAAAAAAGTGGTATCGTTGCATCCCTAGTAGGGATGAGGGTAAAAGTTAGCCGATACCAATCCAGTTGCCTGAAATTGGCTTCACTGTAACTTGTCATTTCTGTTCAGAATCAGAATAGGTTTATTGCCATTGTCAGTGAACAAACAATTCACAAACTAGGAACTTGCTTTGGTACTAATGTGCTACATATAACATGAATAATGGGATTAAAAATAGAATAAAATATAATAAAAAAACTAGAATAAAACTTTCAGCTATAAAAAAGGCAGGTAATGGTAACATGGCCGATAACGTGACGTTGTGTCGAGTACAGAAGACGAGCATGGTTGTGTGATTATAAGCTGTTCACAAGTCTAACGGCAGATGGAAAGAAGCTGTTCTTATGGCGGGAGGTTCTGGTCCGGATGGACCGTAACCTCCTGCCTGAGGGAAGCAGCTCAAAAAGTCTGTGTCCCGGGTGAGAAGGGTCAGCTGCTATCCGACCTGCACGCCCCCGAGTTCTGGAGACGTACAGGTCCTGGAGAGATGGAAGGCTGCAGCCAATCACCTTCTCAGCAGAGCGCACAATGCGCTGCAGTCTATGTTTGTCCCTCACCGTGGCTCCAGCGTACCACACAGCGATGGAGGAGGTGAGGATGGACTCAATGATGGCCGTGTAAAACTGCACCATCATCTGGGCCGGCAGCTTGGCCTTTTTCAACTGCAGCAGAAAGTACATCCTCTGCTGGGCCTTTTTGAGCAGGGAGCTGATGGATGGCTCCCACCTAAGGTCGTGTGTGATGGTGGTTCCGAGGAAGCGGAAGGAGACATTTTAGTTTTGTGATCATTTCTATTAATACATTTAATTTTTTTATCTACCTCGCAGTCTTTTCCTGTTGAAAGCAGTGAAGAAAATAAAACCGGTATTCCGATTCATTGCACTTTTTTGTGTGGTAGAAGTATCAGTAATCGGTATCGGCGAGTACTCATATCCAAGTATCGGTATCGCTGCATCCCTAATTATAAGCCTCACTCTCATAATTTAACCACATCCTACACCTGTCAGAACTCTCAAGAAGAAATGAAAGATTTTTCATCTTGTCAGAGAGCAGATAACAAGTTCAGCAAGGACCAATAGTAAAGCTTATTAGATTAGAAGGTCTCGCTCCAAACAGACCTCGTTCTTCCCCGATCCCGACGTTCCCAGTTCCAGACTGGCTCCTGACGACAGCGAGCCTTGCGACTCACGGCGACCGTTGGTGCCAGAGAAATCTGAACAGAAACAAGCGCGTGAGCAGGGTCATCACAGAGCCAATATCAGAAAAGCTGACAGAACTTTTACTGTGAGGAGATAAAAAACCGACTATAGTTGAAATCAGCCAGCTCCCGTTTCTTGGGGCCTTTGCCGAAGCTCCTGTTGCGAGACCAAGAGAAGAACATTCCTTTCCTTCGGTCTGCTGAATCATCTCGACCCTCCTCGTTTAAAGATCGACCTGATTTGCTCTTCTTGTCCTCCTGTCAGGCACAAATCACACACAAGTACAATTTCACACACTTCATTGATCTCTCATTAAAGGCTGCATGTAGAAACACAAATGTTACTTACTGCTGATGTTTTCCATTATTTCTTTTTTGTTAAATTTGAAATAAAAGCAGGTAAAACTCTCGTGCACATTGAAATAAATGTTCCAGAGCCCTTGCTGCTATTAAGGAAGTGTGTGTGGTGCAGAGCCGCAGACCTGCACGTTGCTTCCCACTCACTCACCAAACAGGCTGATATGAACATAAAAACTAGCCCAAGGTTTTCTGTTCTTTGATTTTAATCAATTCCAATGAATTCATTTATTTATTTCCTCCTGTCCTGCTGTGAAACGCACGAGTAGCGGTACCTTCTTGGGCGTGGAGAGGTTGGAGCGGTCGGAACCGGTGGTGCTGTGTTTGGAGGTGGGGCTGCTTGGGATGTGACACGGGTCGGGCAACGGCCGGCCCTCCACCTCGGCCAGCATGCACTCCTGGTACAGCCGAGACTTTAGGAACCGCGTGTAGCTGTCAAATTTCATCAGGTTAAAGATCTAAAAGGAAAAACGTCAAACGTAAAATTCAGGTGGAGGAAAATAAATCCAGTCAGATCATGTACTTTAATAATCCCCAGGGGGACAAATAAACGCTAAATAACAACAATAACAGTACAGGGTAAATGCAGGAATCTCTAAATTAAATTGGATACCTTTTCGAGACTTTTTAAGACCTTCTAAAATAATATTAAGACTTTATCGCAATAAACTAATCACCTAAACACTCATCCAATCCAATTTTATTTATATAGCGCATTTAAAAACAGCATGTCAGCTGACCAAAGCACTGCAGAGTTAAACCTAAAAAGCCATTCAAAATACACATCCATACACATTAAACACAGATAAAAGCTGTCATAAAATAGAAACACCTAAAAACAATACACATGTATAAAACAGCCAATAAAAGAGAAGTCAATAAAAACATAAGTCAGTAAAACAGAAGAGTCACAGCATAAAAGACCGATCATTGACCAAAAGCCAAATTAAAAAAATGTGTCTTCAGGCTGGATTTAAACTGTGCCAGTGAAGAAGCCTGGCGTACCACCAGAGGGGGTGCGTTCCAAAGTCTGGGAGCTGCAAAGGCGAACGCACGCTCCCCACGAGCTTTATACTTCATTTTAGGGACCACGAGCACTCATACTCATATTCTTTTTAAATACTGCATTGTTTCATTTTCCACATACGTCATGTCTGGGACAGCAAGGCTGTAGCAATAGTACGTAAAGTCACGAGATACGTAATGTCATGTTGTACGTGAAGTCACGAATTACACAAAGCAGCGTGGTACATAGAGTCACGAGGTACGTAAAGTCACGTTGTACATAAAGTCACGAGGTACATAAAGTCACGTTGTACATAAAGTCACGAGGTACGTAAAGTCACGTTGTACATAGAGTCACGAGGTACGTAAAGTCACGTTGTACATAGAGTCACGAGGTACGTAAAGTCACGTTGTACATAAAGTCACGAGGTACATAAAGTCACGTTGTACATAAAGTCACGAGGTACGTAAAGTCACGTTGTACATAAAGTCACGAGGTACGTAAAGTCACGTTGTACATAGAGTCACGAGGTACGTAAAGTCACGTTGTACATTAAGTCACGAGGTACGTAAAGTCACGTTGTACATTAAGTCACGAGGTACGTAAAGTCACGTTTTACATTAAGTCACACGGTAAGTAAAGTCACGTTGTACATAGAGTCACGAGGTACGTAAAGTCACGTTGTACATTAAGTCACAAGGTACGTAAAGTCACGTTGTACATAGAGTCACAAGGTACGTAAAGTCACGTTGTACATTAAGTCACGAGGTACGTAAAGTCACGTTGTACATTAAGTCACAAGGTACGTAAAGTCACGTTGTACATAGAGTCACAAGGTACGTAAAGTCACGTTGTACATTAAGTCACGAGGTACGTAAAGTCACGTTTTACATTAAGTCACACGGTACGTAAAGTCACGTTGTACATAGAGTCACAAGGTACGTAAAGTCACGTTGTACATTAAGTCACAAGGTACGTAAAGTCACGTTGTACATAGAGTCACAAGGTACGTAAAGTCACGTTGTACATTAAGTCACGAGGTACGTAAAGTCACGTTTTACATTAAGTCACACGGTACGTAAAGTCACGTTGTACATAGAGTCACAAGGTACGTAAAGTCACGTTTTACATTAAGTCACACGGTACGTAAAGTCACGTTGTACATAGAGTCACAAGGTACGTAAAGTCACGTTGTACATTAAGTCACAAGGTACGTAAAGTCACGTTGTACATTAAGTCACAAGGTACGTAAAGTCACGTTGTACATAGAGTCACAAGGTAAGTAAAGTCACGTTTTACATTAAGTCACACGGTACGTAAAGTCACGTTGTACATAGAGTCACAAGGTACGTAAAGTCACGTTGTACATTAAGTCACGAGGTACGTAAAGTCACGTTGTACATTAAGTCACAAGGTACGTAAAGTCACGTTGTACATAGAGTCACAAGGTACGTAAAGTCACGTTGTACATTAAGTCACGAGGTACGTAAAGTCACGTTGTACATTAAGTCACGAGGTACGTAAAGTCACGTTTTACATTAAGTCACACGGTACGTAAAGTCACGTTGTACATCGAGTCACAAGGTACGTAAAGTCACGTTTTACATTAAGTCACACGGTACGTAAAGTCACGTTGTACATAGAGTCACAAGGTACGTAAAGTCACGTTGTACATTAAGTCACAAGGTACGTAAAGTCACGTTGTACATAGAGTCACAAGGTACGTAAAGTCACGTTGTACATTAAGTCACGAGGTACGTAAAGTCACGTTGTACATTAAGTCACAAGGTACGTAAAGTCACGTTGTACATAGAGTCACAAGGTACATAAAGTCACGTTGTACATAGAGTCACAAGGTACGTAAAGTCACGTTGTACATTAAGTCACAAGGTACGTAAAGTCACGTTGTACATTAAGTCACAAGGTACGTAAAGTCACGTTGTACATAGAGTCACAAGGTACGTAAAGTCACGTTGTACATTAAGTCACGAGGTACGTAAAGTCACGTTGTACATTAAGTCACAAGGTACGTAAAGTCACGTTGTACATAGAGTCACAAGGTACGTAAAGTCACGTTGTACATTAAGTCACGAGGTACGTAAAGTCACGTTGTACATTAAGTCACGAGGTACGTAAAGTCACGTTTTACATTAAGTCACACGGTACGTAAAGTCACGTTGTACATAGAGTCACAAGGTACGTAAAGTCACGTTGTACATTAAGTCACAAGGTACGTAAAGTCACGTTGTACATAGAGTCACAAGGTACGTAAAGTCACGTTGTACATTAAGTCACGAGGTACGTAAAGTCACGTTGTACATTAAGTCACAAGGTACGTAAAGTCACGTTGTACATAGAGTCACAAGGTACGTAAAGTCACGTTGTACATAGAGTCACAAGGTACGTAAAGTCACGTTGTACATTAAGTCACGAGGTATGTTAAATCAAACAATAAAACGTAGAAAGGAGTATGAGAAAAACTAACCGAAGACACAAAAGAGCCGTGAAACAAGAAGCAGAAAGTACAATAGAGAAATCAGCTGTAACAGACCACTGCACAAGAGAAAACCATAGAATGGACTAGAGGCCGACCGATGTATCCCATTTTTTCTATATCGGCCATCATATACAACCTTTATTTATAAATCACATTTAAAAACGGCATGGCAGCCGACCTAATTGCTGTACAGATAAAAAGTAAAACACAGCATCGGCCAAATTTATTTTTAAAAGCTGATAAAAATAAATTAAAAGCCACTGCCACCACTACTAGACTGAAGAAAGGACCTGAAGGACCCCAAAAAACAGTTGTTGTTTTTTTTTAAATGTTTTGAGTTTGTTTAATATTTGAGGTTCAATTAATATTAAGAGATTTATTGACTTATTTAATTCATATTGGACACAGTGAGTGTTCAGTTGTCTTTCGCAATTAATGTGCTGCTAAAACGTATATATGTTGGCCTTAATAATCGGCTTTAGATAGCGGCCATCGGCAACAAAATTCTTTAAAAATCGGTATCGGCCTTGGCCTTAAAGGGACTTTACGGACTTTTGAATTTTTATGCTCGCGATTGCCCCCTCAGGCCAAAAGCGTAACGGCAGCTTCAATAGTAGACTCGTGCAGGAGGCACGCATGCTGTACGTGCACACTCCTTAACGAAAATAACAGCTGAGACAGTCGTGTGTGTGTGTGTGTGTGTGTGTGTGTGGGGGGGGCGGAGGACAGAGGACAGGAGAACGTGCAGCTAATTAATTAAATAATTTGGTTCTGTACCTTTCTCTTCAGCACAGCCGACAAAGGTTTATGATGGGTCAGTCCTCCTGCATGCTCAGATCATTCCCTTCCCTTGCTTGAAAAATTGTTCCAAAATGAAATTTGAACCCACATCTTTTTTATCTGTGAATTCAATGCCGTTCGGCGAGTCTCAAATAAAAATTTGGGCATCTTACTGTCAAAAATATACCATTAATGTAAAAAATACACTCTAAATAAACTATGTTCACACCCAGAATCAAACCCAGGACTTCTGCATGAGAGTCAGACATCTTACAAGGTGAGCTACAGCCTTAGCCAAAACGTCAGCAAAAAACAAGGTAAAACCACTCTTTTGCTGATTTTTATGTTGTAAATATGATAAATTCTCTTCCAAAAATGAGATTTATGACAGGAAATAACGAGAAACGTTCTCGTCATTACGAGACACTGCTCCAATGTTTTGTTTCCTCACACTGATGGAAAACCGCTCTTCTGTAGTTTTCTACCTGCAGTTGCTGCTCCCTGAACATGTCCGGTTTGGGTGCGTTGAGGATGTCATCAGCGAGCTGAGCCTGGCTGTCTATGTTGACCGGAGTTGTGGCTTTACTGGACAGGAAGCTGTTGTAGATCTCTCTGGCATGTTGGGAGAGCTGAAGAACAGACAGGGTGAGAAATCCCAACATCTGAAAAACGGTTCGGGTGGATGAAACGTTACCTGCTTGTTGTCGTTCTCGGGGACGTGACTGAAGAACTCACAAGCCTGCCAGAAGAGAATGTTCTCCTCACTGAACTCCTTCTTTAAGAATTCCTGCCGTGGATTAAAACGAGTAATCACAACACTGATACTCTAGAATGCTTACACATAAAACACTTTAAAAGCCTTTTTATGCCATTGTACAGTCTGTCTGACAAACACCAGTCAGTACCGAGAAGTAGCGGACACCCACGGGGTCCTGCAGCAGTCGCTCGAAGCAGACCGCCCAGCTGGCCACCCTCCTCTCTGCGTGGCGCCGGTGACTCTGGACGCTGGGCAGGCTGGCATTGCTGTTCAGGCTGTTGTCGCTGCTGCAGCCCTGCAGCTCTACACTGTTCAGTTCTGTTCAAAAGTAAAAACACAGAACCATAAGACTGAGACCTAAAATTCATTCAAATACAACCAAAAACAGCTTTTTTTAAAACTACTGAACAAATGTATTTCTTCACAAAATAAACCTCGTCTCTAGACCACCACCAGAGCAAAATAATTAAGCAAATAATATAAATTATTACAATCTTTTTTTCTTTTTTTACCGTGGCCTGTCTGGCTGTGAAGCAAGCAGAATTAATGTCTGAATGCTGGTGACAAGCCTTACAGATTTACTCTCAGGTGGAGCATCAAAGCGTCTGCTTTTAATGTCACGCCTGATACTTAAAACTTTATTGTTGTTGTTTTTGAATGCTTTGTAATTCTGACCAGACACGGAGACAGAGGTGAAAGAGAAAGGAAAAGACAAAAGGTGGGGAGGGGAGGGGTTCCACAAAAATAAACAATAATGAACAAGAGTGCTTCTAGACCTGCAGAAAAAGACAAAAAAAAAGCAAAAGAACAAAAAAATGGGACACAACAACAATACAACAAGAGCAAGCTATCACTGCGTCAACTTGATGAAGAAATATAAAATCAACATTGTTTAACTGAACAATCACACGATAATAAGTCACAGTGCATTAAGTGCCCACCACAGCCTTAAGACACGTGTTTAACGTGCCCAAGCCCATACTTTTAAGAGCACCATGTGAGCACCTGTGTGTGTACACGCACTTGTTTATTTAAGGTTTCTCTATAGGAGCGTCCAATAGAGAGTGTGAGGAGCCACAGATCTGCCCCCTAAAGATGTGCAGGAGACGGGGGGAGCTCCAAGTCCCAGAGATCCAGGAGCTGCCCCAGAGCACAGGAACCCCAAGGAGACTGCAACCAGAAAGGCCCCCACCCCCCTCGAGAGGCACAGAGGATCGCCCCGTGGGGCCACAACCAGCAGCCGGCAGAGTCCCGGGAGACATCAGCGGCAAGCCCACAGGCCCGCCCGCAGCCTCCCACCCCCTAGCTGGACGAGCCCGGGACCCAGCGACCCGGGACCCAGGGGCGACCACCCCCGCTGGGGACCCAGCAGAGCCCAGGGACCCAGACCCCACCAGGCAGCCACCGGGATGGATCAGGCAGAAGCCAAAAATCTTAAACCCCCAGACCCGGTTGCCACGAACACTCAGGCAGACCAAGGCACAACCCCCCACACCAGGTGTGGCAGGGGGAGGGAGGACGAAGATCTATATCATCAAAAGAAGTTCCAGGAGAGGGGAAGAGTCAAAGGCCCCACCTGACATATACAGTCATACACAAACACAGTCACACACTCCCTCCCTCTTACAGTCTGAATAAATATGAGCATCGTTTAGAATCGGGTTATTTGGAAAAGCTCGTTTTCCCATGTTCTCTGCAGCACCCGAATGCAGCACTAAGTACTGATGTACGGTGAAGCAGGAGGAAAAAACAGCTCTATGAGCCCTCCACCTGCTTCAGCGGACTCCTTTTGCTTTCTAACAAACATTCATAAATGACTCAGGAGTCTAGTGCGTTAAAAATAAACTTCCTTGATATTCTTGTATTTCCAGGTTATTAGAAATGTGTGAAAAAAATATTCAGACCAGTCTTAGTACAGGATTTGTCTTCAGTTGTTATGAATTATATGAAACTATAAAATTCTGTTAATTTATTTTTAGAATAATCTATCAGTAAAGTAAAGCTGTTCCAAATAGAATATTTACTAAGAAATCACAATGTAACCATAGAACCATTACATGGTATATATGTTGTGTGTGTGTGTGTGTGTGTGTGTGTGTGTGTGTGTGTGTGTGTGTGTGTGTGTGTGTGTGTGTGTGTGTGTGTGTGTGTGTGTGTGTTCGGTCTTCTCCATCCCCAGTGAGTCGTGGAGGATGGCTGCTTATACTGAGCCAGGATCCTCTGGAGGTTTCTTCCTGTTAAAAGGGAGTTTTCCTCTCCACTGTCGCTGCATGCTTGCTTAGTATGAGGATTGCTGTAAAGACTCTGGGTGTTTCTCAATGTCAAGGCGCCTGGCCTCGCAAGACAACTGGCCTCGTGAGGCTTTGTCTTGCGAGGCCAGGCGCCTTGCTTACGAGGACACGGTCCTTCCTTGGTCAAAGAAAACGGTTAAATGGAACAGACTTGCATCACGTGACCGCGGCTTCCACGGCGGTCACGTAACGTCACGTGACACGGGAGAAACTTTATATTTTATACGAATTAGTTTCAATATAAATATTTAATTACACTTTTACTTTTTAAATCGTGTAAATGTTTATTAAATTAAAAATATAAGTGAGTTACTGCCCGCTAGCCACCGAAGCTGCAACTACTAAGCTACTAACCAACCATAGATAACTTCTTTGGATCTAAAAAAAAAAAAAAAAAACATTTTAAATTAGCTGACTTACTTTTAAATTTGAAAATTGTCCCCGAAGTAGCTGCCGGTTTCTGATCCGCCGTCCTTTTGAAAATACCGCGGTGTATTCTGGGTAATTTCTGACCAAGGCTAGGCTACAAGACACCTCCCGTGTGTCCTCGCTCAGCTAGCTAAACGGCTAACAAACGGAGAACACACGCCTCGGCAGAACATGAACATTGGAACACGTCTTGGCTGCTTGGCTCCCGATGACGTATCTCCTAGGCAACCGGGGCGGGGCCAAGACACCAAGGCCAGGCGCCTCGACATTGAGAAACACTCCTGGAGCCTGGAGGCAGCTCTGACAGATTAAGTATATCTTTTTGGAGAACTTTCTTCTTCTTCATTAAATGCACCCATGTCTGGCACCAGCACAGTGATCTTTCACTAAGAATGAGAGCAAGATGTTATCCCTCCAGCATCGTATCTAGGAACAAAAGTTCCACTTTAACACTCGGGTTGATAGCTTTTATGAATCAGTCAATGGTTTCTCATTCTGAGAAGAGTCTCGGTGCAACTAGGAATAGTTTATATTAGCCACCATCAGACACTAGAGAGCTCATGCTCCTAATATTGAACCGGGAGGCAGATGCACACAGAGGAGCTGAGAATAACCGGAAAAGAAAAAATAAATTAATTTGCTTCAGGGTTCGGGTCCGTGACGGACAATGAGAAGCTGTATCGACCCAAAAACAGCCAGAGGGGGGACATCGGCGGTCAGGTGCCCTCGACGACGCAAATGCTGTGAACAGTGAAAGAGCAGAATTTTGCACGGAGATAAAGTTCGGCGTGATTTGAAACTGGGTTAAACCCATTGTGACTTCTGCTTATGCAACTCCTGTTTTTGAGTTATCAATGAGCGCCCCGACAGCAGATCAGGCTTACAAACGTCACTATTCTGGTTCACACTTTTTTACGGCAAGTTAGTTTTCAGGGTCCGACTAAAAGGATCACAGGACTCAACATTTAAATGATTATAAAACAGGAAGGAACCAGGCGTGGTTCGTTGTCCAATAGGACGCAGAGACAGTTTGAAAGACAACTGATTTGTCCCACGACTGAGATCTGTCTATGGGTCGTGGACATCACATATATAAGCTTGTTGCTAGGCTAAACAATTATTCGTTTTTTTTTAAATATGAGTTGTTAGAAAACTAAAGTCTCAAAATATGATAATCAATGGATTATTTGCTTAAAGTTTCAGGCACCCCACTACCAGAGTCTTACTCGACCCATAATTCCTGCAGCATCAAAGAGGGACTGCCTGGGGACCCAGGGGGGGCGTTGCACCCGAGGAAAGAGAGGAAAAGGGAAGACTGATAGGAGGCGAGAGGCTCTGAGCCGTGTCGTTTCTTATGGGCGTGTGAGTGGTACCAGCTTAGCCAATAGCGATGTCTGATTCACATTCAAATGTAGTGCAGACATTTAAGCTGAAGAGGGCATCACTCTGACAGTTTATGGCAGAATGTTTAAATTTTACCAAGATGCACTACAAAACTAAAATAACTACGCGTGTCAACAGCACTGAGACACTCACGTATTGTTGATCAGCCAATAACAGTGGACTTGGAGGTGGCTGGCACTACAAGCAGGTTTACTGTGTTTTTCCCCAATATGATCTTCTCTGGTTGTTTCATTGGGAGTAAAAATGTTTCCTGAGCAACATTCCAGAATAACTTCACTTAAACCGCCTAATGGATCCCGAGCACGACTGTGTCTGCAGCGCATGGCTGCCCTCCCCAGGAGATGGGTCAAATGTGGAGACCAATTTCACACACCAGTGTGACAACCGGTGGGGCTTTAACTTGGCGTTCTGGGAAAGAACCAGATTTTACAGATCAAGCTGAGCTTTTTGGTGGGACACAGAGATTCTTCAGCAGAGTCACGAATGAGCAAAATTAGAGCAGAGGATTATTATTTTAGTGCAAATCTGACTTTCCTCTTTTAGATTCTGTGTGTGTGTGTGCGTGCGTGTGTGTGTGTGGAGGATGGCTGCTTATACTGAGCCAGGATTCTCTGGAGGTTTCTTCCTGTTAAAAGGGAGTTTTCCTCTCCACTGTCGCTGCATGCCTGCTTAGTATGAAGATTGCTGTTAACTCGTTCACTGCCATTGACGACTAAAGTCGTCATTGGCATTTTTTTACTGTTTGAAAATCGGAACGAGCCCCCGCGCTGAGAGAACAAACATCTCAGCCCTGAAGCCGATCTTCATCCGCATACGTCACACGTCACGTGATCAGGAAGCAGAAAATCCATGTGTTAGGAGATCGTTTTGGGCCGTTCCTGTAAAAAAAGTGAGGCGCGAACCGGAAAAGCGTCTGCCGATCACAATTCAACAACGGATTATGAAAGAACAGATAACGCTTGAAACACACGGATTCTTCCTGATGTAAGAGGTGAGTCTCCTCTTTGTTTTGGTTGTTTTGGCGTCAACATCATCCTAGCGCACAACATTCTGTGACTCTTAAAACTACAGTAAAAACGGTGAGAAAAGCTGGCAGCGAAGGCCGTTAGCGATCAGGAAACGGCTGGCAGTGAATGAGTTAAGACTCTGGTTAAGTCTCTGACACTAGTCAGTGACTCGATGCAACCTGCTGGG